TATAAATATATAAACTATGTTACATGCGTTATATGCGTCTCTAATTATTTTTCCCTAGCAAATTTCAATTGAACCTAAAGCCGCCACGTCAGTTTAATTGATATGCTAATTGATTGACAACTAAGCAAGGTTACTTTTTAATTAATACAAACTTGAGGTTACATCTTTTCAAATGTTTCTCAATTAATATATAGAGGATAACATCTCCCTACTCAGGCGAGGTTGACCATTGACAAATTAAAGTAATTTTAGTTGTTAACTGAAATACTAGTAATCCTTTTCAATAAATGTCTATAGTTCATATACAAATGTTATTATTTTAATAATCTCATCTGCCTGCTAAAATGATACAAAAAGAATTTAAAGGCATCCACGCTATACGGTACCATTTAAACGCAAAAATCGAATATCCCTACATTTTTTTTTTTGATAATCCAGTATCCGACCACTAAGCGTGATCGACTAGCCCACCGGACCTAAGCCCATGCCATTACAAAATTTTTAAGCCTCCACTTAAGGGCCCCTGATTACGCGAAGTGGTCTTGAGGGCGAAAACAACCCATATAAATACCCTCGTGGCCCGGGTAAATGTTTGCAGCTGTGGGAATTCGAAGCCAGAGTATTGAAGCCGAAGCTCTCTCAGCTGGACATCGTCCCACCACTAGCCCACTTGCGCGGGTTGAATATCCCTACATTGGCTGGTTCAAATCGATTCTAGTAACTTTGGGTTGTAGTTACTACTATATGGTAACGTTACTATCACGTACCTATCTATTAGTTAAACTATATCACTATCTATTAAATTATTCGTTATCATCCATAAGTTAAGCATATCACGTACTGTAGTTTGACAAAAAAACAAAACATACCACATATTTTGTTCCTTTAGCTTTTAAAGTTATGGACACACTCACACAGTGTATCTTTGAATTTTGAGTCCGAAAGCATATATGGCTCTTTAGTTCTTTTTGTCAACAAATGCATTTATTTAGATTGAAGCTTCTCCTCACCCGAAGCCCATAATGATAACAATATACAATATAGTTTCTATAAATAAGTAAAAGATGGTGGTTAGACGAAAATGTCACGAACTGGCGCGATGAAACACACTATAGCTCCAGCTGTGCTATTGATATTTAGCTTCCTTTTAACATGTCTTCTCTTTGCCGCCGTTCAATCACGACGGAGGTCATCAGGCCCACTGCGTTTGGTACCTTCAAGGCCGCTAGTACCTCCCGGACCACCAAGAATTTTGGGATGGCCAATCATCGGACTTCTTCATTTCATCGGAAAAGCTCCTCACCGTTCACTTGCCACTCTCTCAAGATTTTATGGACCAGTCATGAGTCTTAGACTTGGAAGTAAAACCACAGTGGTTATTTCGTCACCAGAGGCAGCACAAGAGGTTTTGAAAACGTCTGACCATGTTTTCTCAGCACAAGCCTTCAGCGAGACCGTTAGAACCATTGGTCACCAGGAAGATGTCTCCATTCCAGGGATACCGTTTATGTCGCCTCATTGGAGGTAACTATAAATTAGTTAATTAAAACTACACATAGTTTGGTTTTGAATATGGTGGACATGAATTTATATACAAATATAACTAGAATTTATTAATCTATTGACATACGTTGAACCACAGTTGACCCAATAATCCATTTGATCGGAATGTAGAACCAGACTGTCCGGATCAGATCTTGTTCACACATATAGATAATGGTAGCAACAAGGTAGTCATGGCCGTTTTTTAACATGTGGAAGTAAAAAAAAAAAAAAAAACATGTGGAAGTGTATATATATATATATATTTTAAAACATATAAATTAGATTTTAAAACTTTCAGATATACTTCTAGATTTAGAGCTATGATTTCAAAAGAAAAATGTTAAGCATGCATAATGGATCTATTAACTTCTACAATTACATCACTACTTTTTTCGGTCCAAATGTTAAAATTTACATCATTACTTTGTTAAATAATACTGTTAATATTTTTTGAATAAGGCCTAGGAATCATTTGAGGCGGAGGGTAGTATACGGTTAAAATAATCCCACTCACATTTAATTAATGTATCACGACGTTATCACCTAGGTTATGGAGGAAGATATTGGAGACTAAGCTGTTCTCAAGGAAGTGTCTCGACGCCACCAAGACCATACGGTCTAAGAAAGTGAAAGAGCTTATAACATTCATTATGGAAAGCTGCGAAAGAGGAGAAGCTGTCGAGATAGCTCGTGCTTGCTTTGTCACAACGCTTAATGTTATCTCAAACGTTGTCTTTTCGACTGACTTAGGCAGTTACGACCAGATGGCCTCAGTGGAACTCAGGGACTCGTTGTTTCGTGTAATGGAGATCATGGGGAAACCGAACCTCGCAAACTATTTTCCTTCTATTGAACATCTTGATCTACAAGGTATCAAGGAAGAGATGAAGGTATGTTCGGAGAGATTGTTTAGTGTTTTCCAGGGGCTTATCGATGCTCGGATGGCAGAAAGATCACCGCGGCCTGAGCCTAGAGAGGCACGTAGCAGTGATCTGTTGGATTCACTTGTCGATCTTATTCAAGAAGATGGATGTGAAGTCGACGTGAACGATATCAAACACTTTCTATATGTAAGTGATATAAGTATTAAAATTTTATAAACGTAAGGGCAAAACATCAAAAAAATTTACTGGCATTGACTTTTTGGTAAAAGTTTTTAAAACATACGGTATAAACTCTATAAATTACATTAATATTCGATAAGAATAAATTCTATAAATTAATAAACTTCTTTTATTTTGAGTTGTATCGGTTCAAAATATAGCACAACTTGATAAGATAATAATATAATATTAAAAAACCCTATATAAACATATCCCATTTTTCATCTATTATATAAAGGATAGCATATTGGTTTTCTAAATTCTTTTTAAAAATTAACTACTAAATGCAAGTTCAGGTTGTATTTTATTTCTTGACAAAAAAATTATAATGATTTTCTGTTAATTTAAGGACTTGTTTATAGCGGGAACGGAAACGAACTCTACCACAGTGGAATGGGCGATGGTTGAGCTATTACGTAACCCAGAGGCTATGGTTAACGCTAAAGTCGAGATCAACTTTATCGTTGGCCCAAACCGTTACGTTCGTGATTCGGATCTCTTAGAGTTTCCTTATTTACAAGCTGTTGTTACTGAGACTCTTCGTTTGCACCCACCGAACCCATTTCTGATCCCACGCAAAGCTGAGTCAGACATAGAGGTCTTAGGGTTCTTCTTGCCTGAGAATGCTCAGATTCTGGTGAACGCTTGGGCTATAGGAAGAGACCAAAGTGTTTGGGAAAACGCGGAAAGGTTCAAGCCAGAGAGATTCTTGGGACGAGAACTTGGGTCGATAGGTCAAGATTTTGAGATGATACCGTTTGGAGCTGGACGAAGGATGTGCCCTGGAATATCAATGGCGTTGAGGATTGTGCCTCACATGCTTGCTTCTCTTATCTATTCGTTTGGATGGACTCTTGAAAACGAGAAAGACTACGCGGCTCCTGCGGATTTGGACATGAACGAGACTTTTGGTCTTACATTGCACAAGTCTAACCCACTTTATTCTGACTTTGTCAAGAAAAACTACGAATATTTTTATTGAGCTTTCGTAATTTCATTTTTATAGTAATTGTTCAGTGGTTCGAAACTATGAGAGCGGACCTGAAATGATAAATACTTTTCCAGTTTATTTTGGACCACTTTGATATATCATCTTACTCTAATAAACGCAATATCCCTTAACACTGCTTGCGAAGTGATTTGTATATATATCATCACCACATTTATTCTCAACAAAGATGATATATCTTTAAAAAAATATGACATAGCATCATCATAGTTATCACATGTAACTTCATTTATAAAGATTTCTTTGTTTGATAAGAATTTTTAAACATGATGACTAATTACTCTCCTACCATCATTAAGATAAATTCTCTCCTAAATATTATTTGTAAAATAATCTGTATATGTGTCATCATCATGTTCACTTCTAACAAGAAAAATATAACATGTTAAAAAAAATATGACATAGCATCATCTTAATTGTGATATGTATAATTTTCTTTGTAAAGATTTCTATTTTTGACAAGTTTTTTTTTTAAATATGGTAATGACTAACTACTCTTATATCAACATTAAAGTAAACTTTTTATATAAATATTCATTTTTACATAAAATTATATATCTATTAATAGCTAATAACTCATCTCACTATTAAAATAAATTATATACATCAAAATGATAAAAATAAACTAAGTACAAATGATAAAAATAAACTAAGTACAATTACGACTATCTCTTACATCGAATATATCTAGCAAATAAAAAACTAAAACAATATTAATCAAAAAAATATTGGTGATTAAATGATCAAATTTTATATTCGTTCATTAGTTTAATTAACATATTGATTTTTACCAGTTTAAACGTATTTTGGCTAAACTAACAAAAATCCAAAACATATTATAACTTACAGACATATTTAAAACTACGGAATCAAAAGACAGATTTAAAAAAAATATATCATTAACTACAATATATAACATAAATACAAAATAACATTATAAAATGTAATTTTAACTGTTGAAATTTAAATAAAGCAAAATGGTGATTTAAATAAAATTAACAAAAAAAATTTATGGTTTTTTTTTCAAACTGGTAAATTGAAATTATAAAAATAGTTAGAACAATATGTAGATTATTCTTTTAGAAAAATAACATAATATTATATTTAAGATTATTATATTTGCACTTGGCACATGTAAACTCCTAGTTATTATATGAATCACAAATAATTCATATTCTATATAATATAACTTTTACATTTTCTTTTACCAGAACATTTTTTTTATTCACATATATAGTGATGATTAACCGTGCTTCTGTTTTCTTGGCATATATGAATGTTTTCCTGAATAGAAAGAGAAAATGATTTTTTTTTTGTGTTTTCTTTATTTGTCAACAAACGTGATTATTAAGAAGGAAAATGGTGGAAAAAAATGTCCAAAACTATTTAGACAGCTAGATTTATATCATCTCCATAGATAAGTAAAAGAAAGTGAAAGTAGAAGAGACGTAACGGACTTAGAAATATCTAATGGAGATGGCTCTGTTCCTCATCTTTTGCTTCCTGTTATCATTCATTCTTCTAGCCACCGCCGTCAGATCCAAACGGAGATCCACCTTACTGCCTCCGGGACCTCCGGGATGGCCTATCATTGGAAACATTCTCCAAATCGGAAAAGCTCCCCACCGCTCACTTGCCGACCTCTCGAGAATTTTTGGACCAGTCATGAGTCTTAGGCTTGGAAGTTTAACCACCGTGATCATTTCCTCCCCAGAGGCCGCCAGAGAGGTGCTTAAAACACATGATCAAGTCCTGTCTGGACGAATCATCCTCGACCCTATTCGATCCATCGACCACTACGATGTCTCCATGGCCTGGCTACCTTCGACGTCCCCTCGTTGGAGGTAAATTATAGACAACTTTTCTGTCTTTTAGGAATTTCCATGGTTAAATGATTTGGCTATAATAATCAATTTTCAGATTTCTTATGCAATGTCGGTTTTTCGGTTACCAAAGGGCCTTTGTGAACGAATCACGAGTGCAATTATAGAGTTTTGGTGGAGTAGTGGGGATAAGAAAAGAAAGATCCCCTGGGTAGCTTGGGAAAAGTTATGTAAACCAAAAGAGCAAGGAGGACTTGGTTTTCATGACATTGGCCGTTTCAATCAGGCCTTACTCGGGAAAC